TATATATATATATATATATATATATATATATATTATATATATATATATATATATATATATATATATATATATATGTGTTGTGTGTGTGTGTGTGTGTGTGTGTGTGTGTGTTTGGGTGTGTGAGAGAAAGAGACCACAACAATGTTAATAACAAAGATAATGATAAACGGCATCAGACATATATCACCAGTAAAAAAAAAAAAAAAAAAAAAAAAAAAAAAAAAAAAAACACTTCCGAATGCAATAGACATAGAGTCCATTGCATGTTTAAGATCGTGATTAGCACTTCCAAGTCTAGTTCTTTGGCACGAGAGAAAACGGGTGTAAGAGAGATGAAAGTCAGACTATAAAAGAAGGAATAATATGAGGAAATGCGATTAGCTGAAGAATGAGGGAATTGGGAAGTGCATGGAGATGGGAAGAGTTGGAGAGATATGGATGAAAGAAGGAAGAAGAGAGAGAGAGAGACGAGGGAGGGAGAGTGAGAGATAGATAGATAGTTAGAGATAGAGATAGATAGATAGAGAGATAGAGATAGATAGAGAGGGAGATAGAGAGAGGGGGGGAGAGAGGGAGCGAGAGAGAGAGCGAGAGAGAGAGAGAGAGAGAGAGAGAGAGAGAGAGAGAGAGAGAGAGAGAGAGAGAGAGAGAGAGAGAGAGAGAGAGAGAGAGAGAGAGAGAGAGAGAGAGAGAGAAGAGAGAGAGAAGGGAAGGGTAGGAGAGAGAGTAATAAACGAAACAGACAGACAAAGAGAACAAATTAGAGAAACAGAAAGGCAAATATATCAACAGAAAAAAAACACAAACAAATAAACCGCTAAACATGCGATAAAAGAGAGAAAGAGAGAGAAAAAAAAAGAAAAAAAGAAAAAAGAAAAGAAAAAAAACGCGGAAGGAAATTAAGAAAATCAAGAACCAGCACAAAACCAGAAAAAAAACGACGTCTTGACTGAGAGACAGAAGAAAATTCATCATCTTGAGCTGTTTCTTTCTCAAGGAGTGATAGCGGATTAATCTTGATCCTTCACTCTTTCATATCCTCACCCTCGGGCTTGCTTATTTACCTCATTTCCTCCTATCCTCCTTCTTTTCTCTCTCTTTCTCTTCCGTTTTTTTTTTTTTTTTTTTTCGTCTCCGATGATCCGATAAGAATACGAGAAAAATCATTTGAGTAGTTCTGTTTCCTTCTTATTGTCTATCTGTACGTTTTATTTCATGAGTGTTTCGTTGGGTTCCTGTTCTGCGAGTGTACACAATAAGATATGTCTCTGCTTAACTATTAATTTCTCTCTCCTTCCCCACTCTCTTTCTCTCTCTCTCTCACTCACTCACTTTCTGTTTCTCTCTCTCTGTCTTGCTCTGTCCTCTCTCTCTCTCTCTGTCTTCTCTTCTCTCTCTCTCTCTCTCTCTGTCTCTGTGTGTGTGTGTGTGTGTATCCTCTCATTTTCTGTCTACCCTCCTTCTGTCTCTCAGTCTTTCATTCTCTCCCTCCTCCTATCTCCCTGCCCCACCTATCGTCGCTCTACTTCCCTAAATTCCTCAAACTCACTCCTCCCTTTCATCCCTCCCCACTCCCCACCCTCTCCCTCTCCATCCCCTGCAACCCTTTCCCCATCCCCACTCCCCTCCTTCCAATCCTCCCCTCGCAGCGCCCCATCATTTTCCCCTTTCCTCCCCCCTACGCGTCGCGACACAAACATGTTTACGATTCCGATACCGGGGACGCCCTTCGACGCTTGCCCCTCTCGGAATTCTTCGGGAGGAGGACAGCGAGCGCGCACTCTGAGGCCGAGGCGGGAGGCGAGAGCACGGGGCCAGTGTTTGCTTTCGCTTGGGCGGGGAGCGTGACGCCTCCTGTCTCGCTCTGGTTGTGGTTCTGTCGTTTCGGGCTCTCTGTTGGTCTGTCTGTCTCTTTTTGTGACTTTGTGTTTTTGTCTGTCTCTGTCTGTCTCTGTCTCTCTCTCTCTCTTTCGCTGTCTGTCCTTCTTCTCTTCTCTCTCTATCTCTCTTTCTCTCTCTCTCTTCTCTCTCTCTCTCTCTCTCTCTCTCTCTCTCTCTCTCTCTCTCTCTCTCTCTCTCTCTCTCTCTCTCTCTCTCTCTCTCTCTCTCTCTCTCTCTCTCTCTCTCTCTCTCTCTCTCTCTCTCTCTCTCTCTCTCTCTCTCTCTCTCTCTCTCTCTCTCTCTCTCTCTCTCTCTCTCTCTCTCTCTCTCTCTCTCTCTCTCTCTCTCTCTCTCTCTCTCTCTCTCTCTCTTCTCTCTCTCTCTCTCTCTCTCTCTGTGCCTCTCTTTGTCTGTGTTTGTCTCTGACTGCCTAACTGCCCTCCCCCCTCCCCACGCTTCTCTCTCCAGTAGGGTCTTTTAGCCGGTTTATACAGGTGTGGGCACCTGGGTATGTGGGTTGGGCTAGGAGTTGTGTTTGTATTTGTGCTTGTGTTTGTGCGTATGTTGGGGAGAGGTATGTGTATGCATATGTACAAGTATGCGTGCGTGCCCTTACAGACAGGCAGACAGACAGGCATATAAATAGATAGAGGGAAAGATAGAAATATAGAGAAATAGAATGATAGATAGAGGGATAGATAGAAATATAGAGAGATAGAATGATAGATAAATGGACAGACCGACATTCAGATAGATAAATAGGTAGACAGACAAATGGATAGATAGATACATAAATAAACGAATGAATAAACAAATACATAAATCAGTGGGTAGATAAACAAATGAATTAACAAAAGAATACAGTCACGTGCATACCGACATCCAACCAGAAATCAACAATAACAAAATATTCCCTCTTATATCACATATCCATTCCCTAACAAGGAGAACACCT